GTGTGACTTCCCGGTGCATCAGCAATGAGCTCTTTAAACAACTCTCATTTTCCCTTCTCATCATAATTGCTTCTTTTTGTGCTTTCAGAATTTCATGCTTAAGAATTTCCAATCTCTTCTGGGCTGGCATCTCTTGTAGAATTTTAAGCCAATCAGATGTTAACTATATTTTTTCTGTACCTTTTGAAATCGGCTCTTCAAAACCTGGATATGTTTTATTTTTTGGAAATATATTTATGCAGAAAAGAATATAAAAAGGATTTGCACTTCATTCACTGTGGATGAAGAAACTTTTACTCCTTTCCAGTAGGGCTTCCACCTTCCCCCAAAGGATAGTCATGTTATGAGATCAAGCAGCAAGGAAGACAACTCAAGATTTGTTTTAAAATGTTATTACACTTTTCATCAAGTCCATGCTACCTTTATTGTGCTTCATCAAAGGTAAAGATAACAGATGATTCCTTCATGCTGATCACCACTCAGTTTCCATTTAACTACCCAGTGTGGTTTAACCTCAGAGTAACTTGCCACTTCACCCTCCTTCTTGTCTTCCACCTCCAGTCATTGCTTTCTAACTGGTCTTTCTTTTCAGTGATCCAGTCAATTACTAGCATTTATTAATATGCTAGCATGTGCCAGACACTGTTCTATGAGCTCCATTCTTCCACTACAGATCTCACTAGCTTATCTTTTTAAAAGGTTTTTATTGTGAATTCAACAGTCATCAATGATTACAAAGATTTGAAGAATAGGAAGAGGACCACATGTGAAACTAAGAACTTCTGCCACATAGGTTTTTTTTAAAAAGAATATATAAATTTAACAAGGCAGTAACAAATAGCTTTATTTGTTGCCCATTCTGCACTTCTCCTGCCTTATGTCTGTTCATATTTTAAAATGCCTTATTTATATTTTTTTCATGTCTATTATTACCCAGCAATCCACTTCCCTCTACCTGAGTAGAAGCTCTCTCTTATGTATGTATGATCAAGCAATACAGTAAATTGCCCATTTCTGAAAATACATGTTTGTTTCTATACCCCTAGTTTAGTCCCCCTCTGCCAAGAGGTAAAAGGGATGTTTCATCATCAGCCTTTTGAAGGCATTATTGGTTGATGCTTTGATCAGAGACTGGGGTGTATTTTAGATTATGCCCTAGCTTTACTCTCCTGTATCATAAATTCTAAGCTGGAATGGCCACCTCCTCTCTAGGTTCCCACATTTTTACTTTGACAATTAGTTCCTTCCTTTGGCAAGATTTTGTTACAGAATATAATTTGTCTTTATTAGCTTTTCTACCTTTTGGAGTAGGAAACTATGATTCACAAGTTGTTAAGTGTGCAGCTTTTGTCAGAGGGAGAGCCCTTGCAAATGTTTAGATAATTGAAGTCCCTGGTCATTGCTATACCATGCTTCTGTGCTAGGCTTGTGATCTGTTTCCTGAATTATTCTTCAATACTTTGTGAATTTAGTGGCATCCCTCCACCTTTTCTCTTTTTCCTACAGTGTAGCTATCCTTTATTATTTGAGGTAATCAACAAGCACTTATGAAGAACTTGCTATGTGCCAGGCACTATATTAAGTCCTAGGAATACAAAGAAAAAAATTTTTATGTTTACATGTATTTAAATACAAAATAAATACAAAATCATTTCAGGAAGAGGGGACTCACTACCAACTTAGGTGATTAGGAAAAGCCTTATGTAAGAAGAGATGGTACTTGCAATTAATGTTGAAGGAGACTATAGACTCCAAAACATAGGCAAGGAGGGAGTGGATTTCGTGCATTAAGGAGAAAAGTGGAATGTGATGTGTGGGGATAAGTCTGTAGGTAAGTTTGACTGGAATATAAAGGGTGTAAAGGAAAGTAATGTGTAATACATGTAGAAAATTCTTTAGCTTGCTACATAATATTTAAGCAGTTTTCTCCCTCTCAATTCTTTTCAATTTAAAGCCATTTTTATTTGATTTCCAAGACTTCAGGCAAATATATTTTTGCCAGTATTTGCTAGATGCTCTCACTCCCTGTCATGATTCCTGTGATGTATATAACCTGTGGTCTGAAAATCAAAATTCCATACTTAATGTCTTTTTAATGAACTGCTCAATCCTCAAATGTGCCTCTCTCATTTGAAGCCCTTGATTTCAAATGGCAATAGTGATAAAAGGATCATTTCATTGACATGCTGTAAAATACTTACCAAGGACATTAAGAATTTCTTAAAGTGTGTCAAAACATCTCTCACAGAATTGCTTAGACATAAGAAATTTCCTAGAAAAAAATTAGTAAAGATTGAATTGAGGTATGAATTTGAACTGAAGAAATATGGAGAGTAAGAAATCTGTATCTTGATATCATGGTAAGGCTCAGCATGTGATTATGAAGATATAGTTAGCTAATTCTGATCAGAAAACTTTCAGTATAATATTCTATATGCTAAATTTATATCTATAAGTCATTCATCTAAATATTCTGTCAAGAGACATATACTCCCTAAGTAAAAATATTGTATTAAATAGTATTAAGTGTAGAACAGAATATTTCCTTGAAGTTTAAAGAGGTTTTAAGGTCTGTGCTTATTTTATCCATTAGAATTTTAAAATTCATTTGAAAATAGAATTATTTTATTTGGCATATAATAGCTATGTAGAAAAATCTCAGTATTTGATTTCGGATGCTGTTTATTTAATAAATAGATTTGTTGTAAGTAGCTCTTACATAAACGTTTAAAATTGTCGAAAAACAAATGAAGAGAAAAGCCTAAAAGTGATACAGAAAAATGAATGTGATTGAAAATAGATTTATGAGTTCATTATCCAGATGTTTTCTCACAGAAATTAGTTTTCTTGGTATTACCATTTTTGTTCTCTTCGCTGGTACTGTTAGCTGCCTTTTATCCTAATCCCCAATTTTTATTTATGTGCTTCAATATTTTGACTTCACTTTGATGATAATGGGAATTGGAGCTTTTTGTTGATAATGTGGAAACGTGGTTTGCTGTGGGAAGGTTGGTGTTTATGAGTATTTGAATCTTTTTTGATGTACACTCACTTGTCAGTACGTAGAGCAGGTGTTTGTTGGTGCCTACAAAAAAATTTCCTTTGCTTTCTGTTTGAATTTTACCGTAGAGTTTACTCATCTTCCTTATTTTCAGACTATTGTGATGGCATCTTCCTGGAGTTAAAATGGATTCTATTTTTAAAATTGTTACAAAAAGATATTAGTAATAACCTTTCTAGTAATCTTAGCAATCTTTGTCATCATATGATTGAACACAAGTGATGTTCATTTTAGTAACAGATTGTGTTCCAAAAGTTCACATTTAAGTTTGTTTTTTAGAAAGCAAGCCACATATTATTGTATTTGCCATGTTATATGTGATTTGGCAGCCTTAGGACAGCCTACAAAAGCTTTCTTAATTCTAAATGTGCCTAGAAGTGTTGGACTGTATCAATATGCTATTAATTGCTATCGAACCAAAGCACAATGTTCTGAAGTATTTCTGTGGGTTAATGATGCCAGGAGCCCATATGCCTCTCTACCCCCATGCTTCTATAGGTACACCAGGCACATATTTCCATGTGCAGGATCTCATCACTTGAGCCCAAGTCCCAAGGCAAGGCATTCATTTGCCCTAGACAAGGTTTGAAATTCATCCCTCCCACTCCATCCCTTTTGCTAATAATGGTCACTGTAGGCTTTAGGCCTCCACTAAAATATATGCAACTTATCAAAAAATTAATGCCTAAATATTACAGAAAGCATACTTTTCTCACTCAAAATATTTTGTGATTACTTTTTCCTTTTCTAAATCTTCATTAACCATCCTTTTATTGCTATATTCTAGAACAGAGGTTCCCAAACTTATTTGGCCTACTCCTCCTTTTCAAAAAAATATTACTCAGTGCCCCTTTGAAAATCTTTCTTTTACCCTTTAACATTTTTTTAAAATTTGCATCATTTCAAAAATATTTTAATAATTTATTGTAAATTTGTGGGGTTTTTCCTTCATTGAAATTTTGATGACACAATATTATGTCATGTAATCATATGGTATTGTATTGTAAACAAGTCTTTACATACACATATTCCTGCCGATGCACGCTTACCAGCTGACGCTTGTTAAAACCTGTCAGCACACTTGACCACTTATGGGTTATAACCTGAATTTTGTGTGTTTATTTGGAAAATAATGTAATTGCTACCAGTTTAACTTTGTTACACAACAGATGAAACATGTACAAGCAGTTTTTCAAAATTTTCTTATCTTTCCTCATGCTTCCACTGCTTCTTATTTTTATTCAGTGCCCCCGTAGTTGCAGCTGAGGCTACTACTGCACCCCCTCTACCTGTATTGTTCCAGTGCCCCTTTGGGGCAGTATCACCCACTTTGGGAACCTGTGTCTAGAGTTTTGCCAGGAATCAAAATTCACTGTGGCAAACTCACAAGTCCAACACTCTATCAAATGAGCCACCTCCCTGCCTCACAGTAAAAATAGTAAGAGGTATTCCCTTGTCATCAAGCTGTTGTAGGTCTTAGTTCTGCACTTCTGTAAAATGCTCCATTTTTGACATTTTAAAATGGAACCCTCAGCTTAGTGTTGTGATAAAAAAAAACTATCTGTGTATTTGCAAAAATCTGAAGCATATTCACTTTACCTTCTCTTAAGAATTATTATGGGTGTCCAATTGTTTGAACATACTGTGGTTTCTAGAAGGTTGTAATGATGATTTGTTTCTCTTGTGTAAGACTTTTGGTTTGGTTGAGAGGTTTGTGAGTTGAAAGATGTGATGGTGAACATGACTTAAATTTTAACAATTTTTTGCAAGACATTTGAAGATACCAAATGGCTATTAATTATCATCAAACTCAGGGACTTTAAATATCCTCTGTGAGTGTTGATAGATGAAATAACAATATTTTATTTTAAGGACTGTTTTAGCTATGTTATATAAGAAAACACCATGTAAATTTTTTTTTAATGTGTCTTTTGCATAGGTCCAACTTGGCCAAGCAGAAATCAAATGTCCCATCACAGAATGCAATGAATACCTAGAGGAAACAACTGTTCTATATAACCTGCCACATGATGATGTCATCAAATACAAGTACTTCTTGGAACTCAGCCGTATTGACTCCAGCACCAAACCATGCCCTCAATGCAAGCACTTTACAACCTACAAGAAGAGAGGACATGGTCCAACCTCTACCAAATTGGAAAACAAATACAAAGTGAGCATGCTCACCAGAGCTATGGATTAGATGTCACATAATAGGAGCAGCCAAAGTAGGACAGCATGTGGTGGGCATTAAGTGGGCTTTCTTCTCTTACGGGAGCCTAATGTAAGCTATGTTTTAGAATATGGTTCTGTAGTATTATATCCCTGCATAAATATTCAAGTCGTGGAACAATTTCATATATTTGTGGATGTAATTGTGGTTATATTTTACATACACATGATTCAGACACTTTATTTGTCCATTTTACCTTAAGAAGATCAAGAATACATAATATATACAAAATTAAAGTCTAATATTCGGAGTAATAACAATTTACAATGTTTAAATCCTCTTGCACCCATATATGCTAGGCTATTTTCACTGGTCTACCCATGACTCAGTTATTTTGACTATGGCCTCATCTAAATTTACCCAAAGTAGTAGAAGCCTTTTATAAACTTTGTGATGTTTAAGCAAAATGACAAAATGAAGGTCTCTTTGTATTGTTAGGTAATTGTTAGAACATCCTATATCTTGGGAGGAATTGTAGCATTCACCAAGAAGTTTATACATACTCCAGTGTTTCATGTTTGGGATGGTGTATATAGTGAGTTTAGTAAGGGCCATTAAGGTCTCATCTGTCTTTGAAGCAGTCTGCTATAATAAATAAACTGATTTAGACAGTTTTAGTTCTTATACAGTCAGTCATGTTATTATTATTATTATTATTACTTAATGCATGACACCTGATGGATGCTTTTATTAGTTTTGTTTCTCAATAATTCCCAATAATTATATGGTGTTTTTTTTTAATTAACAAATTGTCCAGCTAAGAATAATGCCGTGATGGTGATTTTAAACAATTGAACTAATATTACAAATTTATTCTCCAACTTTATTCAAATTCATTTTATTAGGACTAATTTTCCTTATAAATATTTGCCTTCTGCAGTTTGTAGCATTGACATGATTTCCTAAATTTTAGAACCTATAATGGAAGAGTAAAAATTCAGATCTAATCAATTTGTGATGTACGCTTTTTCAACCACTTGATACATGATTCTTATTGATGGAAAAACTTGGAATTTTTAATTTTACATAAAGAGATGATAAGAGATTGTTACTAACAATAGAATTTTGCAGATATCACTTTAGTCAAGATCACTCAAATTATCTTATGGTGGAAATTTTTCCCACTTCAATTATTGAAAGGGAAATATGAAGAAGGTGTCTAGATTCCATTCACATTGTTAGAGCCAAAATTTCTATTTAATTTTTTATTGAATTCTATTGAACTTTTTTTTTTAGTTTAAGGCTTTTGGTCTACGTGTTATTTAGTTGCTGACCTTCCCCCTACTCCTGTTAGAATCTAGTAGGTATTTTGTGGGTTGGTTGAATGAAAATAAGGTTTAAATGAAGCCAGATTTGGCTTTTTTAGGTTTAGACATTTTTCTTCTCAGTAAAACAAGAGAAATATGCTTTCATGTCAGAAGGGAACAAGTACTGTTTTACATATTTTCAAAATTAAACTTATTTCAAGCTTTTGTGGGAAAAAATGAACAACTCAATACAATGTACAAGAACAGTGCATCCTTCATTGAATTGAAGCCAGAATATTTTAGGAAACATGGTGTTATTCTTTTTTTCATCCTTATGAGAGAGAGAGAAGGCCTATTAGGAACTGGAAGTAACCAACTCCTGTTCTCTGAAATATGCATGGTATATGGAAATTTGTGGATGAATTTAGCTATTCCTAAAGAAAATAACAGTCTTACTGTTATGGTTTCTGCTATTATTAATATACTTAATTTTATATAATATTGTTCTCCAACCAGGGAACTCAGCAGTTTCTAAGTGTGTAATTCATTCTTTGTATAGCTAAATTATGTAAGGTGGTAGATGGCAGTAACCATATTATCCAAACAAAATAATTCTCTAAGATTGTTTAATAAGTGGCAAAACTGGGCACAAAACACAGTCCTCCTCATTTCCATTTCTATTCCCTATCCAGGTACTCTTTTGATTGCATTGGTAGGAAGAGAGAAATTGATATGGAGATGGACTCAATCTATTTAATCAATTCAAGGTCACAGATATAGCTGAAGAGCTATAATAAACTTTCTTTAATTTATTGCTCTATTTCATTCTTTTTGAATGGATAGATGGACTTGGGGAGTTCTGAAACATTAATTAAATACAATCTCATCAGTTATACAACTTATTTCCAAATTCTTTAAAGTCCAATATAACTTTTTTTTTTTGAGACTGGATTTCCTCATCTGGTCCAGGTTGGCAGTACGGCAGCCAAATGGGTCCAATCCAATACTGATTATCACAGGGGCTTTGACCTCCTTTGTTTTCTAACCCCTTTTTAGGCAGCCTGATGCTCTACACCATCAGCTCCTAGACCCTCATTATATTGGTGCCAGATTTAGTGTGGACACTCAGTTGGCTTAGCCTCTTGCCCATTAAAAATCCAAGTTGATCTACCTCCCTCAGTCTCCCCAGTAGTAGAGATTACAGGCATACACCAATACTCTCAGCCCAATATCACTATTAATTCATAGTATATTACATTTGAGAGCATTGGATTTCAGCAGTATTAATTTGTATTATTAACATTATTTAAATTGCTATGCACAGTGTACCCTGCATCCCTTGGATCCTCTGAAAGCACTTTAAATCCTGTTACAGTATTCCACCAACCCAACGTGGACTTTTTTTTTACTCATCAATAAAAATCAATGTATTGAGGGCATACCCTACATAATAACATTTCCTAATTATACTGTTAATACTAATTCCCACTATAGTGTCAGAAAACACTGTTGTGTCTCACAATTTGACTGGTCATCCAAAGTATAAACTGGAGAGTAGCTGTCTCCCCTGACTATCCTTAGAAAATTCTTCTTATCTCAGGTGGAGACTGGCAAGTATCCCACTCAGAGGTTTTAAGGTTCAGAAAATGGTTCCAATGTGTATTACTCACCCTTATGACCATCATTCCTTTTAAGGACTTCCAAGAACAGCAGGTGCTGTTGGTGTCAGGATGTTGGATAGGTAGAGGGGAGTGAATAGTTAGGAACTAGTAATCATACCCATCTCCTTCCAGAGTATGACTGGCATACTGAGCCCTTCTCAGGATGAGACTTTTGTAACATGTGAACTGTAAAACCTGAGGAAAGATTGCGGGGTTGAGCACTGTGACTGAGGACACAAGAATGATGAAAGCATAGAAATGAAGATGTGACAAGGGCAGGGGCTTGTCCACTGGATTCAAGGGACTTGGCACGTGTGAAAGTTGTTCCCTGTTTGTGCTCCACTGCACTCATCATTTTAGAAATTCCTGTCTCTGAGTTTGAGGAAGCAAGACATTTTTTAATTATACAAATTATATAGTTTCAAATCTCTATAAAGACTTCTTTAAAGCTTTTATTGTCTAAATTTTGGTGATGTGGGAATTCATCTCTCATTTATCTTATTTTTTTCTTATGAAACATACTGCCCGCTGTGATATTTCACTTATGATCATGTATTCACAGAACAAGTTAGTGCAGTTAGGGTATGTCTGTAATTTAGTTCAGTTATTCTTCTTTTGAATGCATTTATATAATAGCTTAGCTATAAAATAATTATCAGTTTGAGTATTTGTTGAGCTTAATGGTGCCCACTCAGTAAGATTTTGAGCTCTGTGTTAAAATTATGATGAAATATCAAACATCTTGACTTCTAATATTTTGCTATTTAAAAATAACATTTTTATCATAATTATCATCAACATTTTTATTATTGTCTGGTATGGTATTAGGAATTGTGGTTTTTTGTTTGTTTAAAAAATGTGAAACATGAAATCTCATAACAGCAAAATGTAAAACGTAAACAGAAGTACATCAGCTCTTATATATATAGGCTTCATTCTTCTGAGCCATCCAAAAAGAAACTTCTCCAGGCAAAGGCTTGAGTAAATAGATAAATCTCTCATTGTGTGTTCTGAAAGTCAATAACCCATATTCTCAAAGAGCAGAGAAATTCCAGACTGGGAAGATTTTTCCTTAGAGAGATTTGTCTTTGGTCAAACCCCGGGTTACTATCTGAAATGCAGCATTTTGTTTCCCTGTGATTTTGGCTATGCTGTCTCTGGTACCAAAAAACAAATACACAGAGAATTGGGCAGGGGCATTAACAACTGGACAAAAACAGGAAAGGACTCTTAAAAAAAAGGTGGCATTGTAGCTGTGCTTTGAAGGGATGTAGGTGAGGCAGACAGCATTCCAGGCAAGGGGAGATAGCCTGTGTTGAGACACAAAAGCAAGAAATGGAATGCATAGGGAGCAGTAACTAGACTGTCTAAAAATTACCTACATGTTTTCAGATTTCAGATCGATGGATCAGCTGCTTCTAATTGGCATGTTTTTAAAATGTGCTTAGATTTCCTTCTAACACAGAAGGTTTGATAAGCATATGCTACCTATTGATGTTGATATTGATAGAAGCTACAAGGCATAGTTGATAGAGCTGAATTTAAAATAAGGAAGACCTAAATTCAAATACTGCCTCTGACACATAGAGCCTTTGTGACCCTGAGCAAGTCACCCTCTCAGTGCCCTAAACAACTACTTTCTAAGACTATAAATTACAGAGAATTTGCAATGATCTGGATAAATTGGTAATAGGAAGTTCCTTACTGGGTACTCCCTCCACCAAAGAAATTACAAATCTGATTAAACAAAAAAGAAAGATAAACATACTATGCCTATATACATATAATTTTCTATATATAAGAGGTTACTTCATTCCTTTTTACTCTCTCACTTCTCTCTAACACTATCACTTTAAATTGATAGTGTTTACAAATCAGAAATCAGTATATGCATCAATCCTCCAAGGTTCAATTTAGTTTTTGAAACACTGATTCCTCTAGGGTTTAAACGCATCACCAGTGTCAAGGAACTGACAGAAAACAAGTGTAGATTTTGAAATGATTGTTGCTGACACAGATTTATAAGAGAAAT